TTCATTGTCTAAGCCTAATACAATCTCACTGTTTGAGTCAGATTTGCCAAACTGGTGATATGTTTATCTGAGCTGACTTCAGGGTTGTACAATTCAATTCAAGAAGGATTTATGAAACATCTACTCAATGTTCACTCTGGTCTAGGCTCTGGAGCCAGAGAGAAGGGGATGTTTATGAGTAGCAGCAGCCTGTCACTTCTATTTTCAAATAACTTGCAATTTGATTTGAAGATATGAATGCAAGTGGAGAGTTAGAGATCAATATGAATTCTCTGAAAGAGTTGTGCTTGAAGGATCTTGAATGGTCATAAAACACAACAGTTATACTATGAGGCTCTGGGTCAGCTTCCATTTGGTAGCTATGTGAGCTGGGAAGAGTTGCCCTATCCCACTCACATTTCTCATTCTAAGGAGATAACGCAATCTGTCTCATAGTGTAATTGTCAGATTCGATGTGTATTAATGCTTATAAAGCACTTAGCACATTGCCTGGAATATAGCATATATAAAATACATAGACAGTCATCACTATTTTCATCATAAAATCTAATGGCCTCTTTTTGAAAATGAGGAAACTGAGACACAGAAGTGGGAAAATGACTATTTGTCAATTAGTGGCAAGCCTGGAATAAGCAGCAATAACCAATTTTATTTGTCAGTTGTTACGGTTTACATCTAGATGTCTTCCCAAAGCCTCATGTACTCATAAGTGGGCTTTGGGGAGGTGATTGGATCATGGATGTGATACTCATGTGATACTCATCATTGGATTGGTCCACTGATGAGTTTACAGCTAAAAGTGATGTTGGGAAGTGAAGCCTGTTCAGAGAAGGTGGATCATGGGGGCATAGCGTGGAAGGGTCTATCTCCCTCCATCCTTCTTTGATCATTCTCTGCTTCCCCCTGCTATGCCATGAGCTATTTCTCCTCTGGGATGCCCCTCTGCTATGCTTTGCTGCCTGGAGCCAGCCAAATGTGAACTGAAACCTCTACAAACTGTGAGCCAAAATAAACCTCTCCCCTTGTGAGTGTTGGGTATTGTGTCTCTGTGATGAGAAGGTAACTAAAACAACAGTATAGTGAGGGTACATGCTACAATAACAAATATGCCCCCAAATCTTAACATTCTGTGCCTTAGCACAGTAGGTGTTATTTAATGTTCATGGAAAGACGATGCAAACTGGGAGATGCTATGCCATTCTTCAGGGGGCACAGTTTGGGATCCGTGGTCTCCAACACCACCACAATGGTGCAGATAGAGATGGAGGAGGTAGGTCAGCTCCTAACTGCTCTGTCTAGTCTAGTGGTCAGAACTAGCGATCTCGCCCCTACCCAAGAGAGGCTGGGAGTATCTGCTGGCAAAAGGCCATTTGATGTGCAAACTGTCTGCTGCGAGAATGATGTTTCAAGTTGATGCAGAGGTATTGAAAGGAAGCATGTAAGTGCTTAATAGCAGTTCAGTACTGTATGTTAACAGTTTGTGATTAAGTAGCTTCATGAGAGGTATAGACAAGCATGATAGAAGATTAGAAAAGGAGCAGATAAGAAAGGAAAAAGGGCTGAATATTTCCCGTTGAAGGGGATAGTACTATATCAAGACCTAGGAATAGAGTAAGACCGAAAAAGGTAGGTAGAATCAGGAGACATGGAGAGAAATGTGGAGAGAAAGCCCCTTAAGTAGCATGGACAGGGAGGGGGGCTTGGTGAATTTCCTGAGAATTCTGAGGACGCTGGCCATATCCACCCGTCATCACGAGGGATCAAGTTGGAGGGCAGAAGGAGGATACCACTGTGGTCAGCAGCAATTCCCAACAGCTTAGGACATTGCTCCTGCCTCTTCCTCTTGCTTTCATTTTGAGAAACTTCCCCAGAGCCTGAGTTCCTTCTTGGCCTTGAAATAAATGCTTCACTATGACATACAGTGTGGTAGGAAGAGCACTGAATGCAAAGCTGGTAAATAAAATTTCCAGTTCTCACTTTGGCCATGATAGCCTGTGTGGCTTTGAGCAAGCCTCTCCTCTCCTCTGGGCTGCAGATCTCCTTGGTGAAATCAGGAGTACCCTAAGCCCCTTACTGATCTGATTCTCTGTTGCTAAGCCTCTCAAAGCCATCCTTTATAGCATAAGGTAAAATCCTTAGAGGGATATTCTGGGACTCTCTTCTGGGTAAAGATCCAGGAGCAAGACAATTTGACCAGGGACATAGCAGCTTAGAGAATGAGCAGGATCGAATGTGGCATATGCAAATCTTTAGTGAGGGGCCAAGCTGCTATCAGAATGGAGACAGGATACACAGGCAGCCCTGGAAGCTGAGCCCAGGCTCATAAATCTCAGCACTGACATATCAATCAGTCAGTTCAATCAGTTGCAACATTTTTTCTTTGGAAATAAATAAAGATGAAGGCAGTAGATACCACACAAAGAGGAACCTTAGAGCAACGTGGAGAGTCATACTGCCACTGGGTCCTGGAGCTGGATTCTGATTTATGGAGCAGGCTGAATTTGATAAATCGAGGACCTCAATCCAGTGGGTTTAGGCTCTTGTTTCCTAAATGGGAACTTAATGTTGTTCACTCATTCATAGGTAGGATGCTACAGCAGAGAGTTAATATATAAATCTGCTATTTACAAGGGTCCTCGTGTTTGTTTCTTGAAAAACAAACTTATAAATCATGCCCACCTCAGATGAAAACTTTTCTGGTGTAAATTGTCACCTTCTTTCTATAAATCTCACATTTAGAATTCTTCCTGGTTGATCAGACCTCACACATTTGGAGTGGTGGAGCAGGTTGTAAAAGGGCGCAGTCTGACTGGGAATATCAGGAGTAGCTGGAGATAATGGGGGACAAGTAGGGGGTAAGAAGAGCCCAGGATAATTTGTTCCTCATCTAGCCTTGGACTCTTTATTTATTTATTTTATAGCCTATCTGGATTTGAGAGTGCACTGATTTTAAAAAATGTTTCAAGTCAATAAAATATGCAACTAAAGATGGATTCTGAAGTTGGTTTATTAGGCAATTTCTTGTATGGCTCCTTGGGGCTCTGCACACCCTGCTCAGAGATGGGCTCTCATCCTGCATGAACCCTTGGGTACCTTGAGCCAACCTCAGAAGGCACAGGAGCCTGGTGCTCCTCTTAGCTCCTGGGCTCCACTCTTTCCTCAGGGCAAGCTCTTCCTTCCCATCCTGGGGCTTCTGCAGACACCACCCTAAACCCCTGCTGCTTCAGTAGTCTCTGCTGTCCCCTCCCTTTCTGCCTCTATTCCTTTAGGACACCACCACCTCCAAGAAGTCTTCTCTAATTGCACATATGGATGGACACATTTGCATTTATATTAACAAACAACAAGAAGCAGAAACTTTATCAGAAGATGAACTCATAAAGAAGTCACCCATGTTTTTAGGACTGGCTTCATGCTAAGGTATAGACAGAGCAGTGTGAAGCAAGGTGGACCAGGGAATGCCTGATTTTCTCTTGGGATGGGCTTCCATCTAGCCGCCCACAGGTCAAGGCAGTTCCTCCTTATTGCCAAAAATGGCTTTACCCCACTCTTCCACCTCCTGTTCTTTCCCTGAGCCACCTTTCTCCAGAGTGCTCTAGGCCCAGGCTCACTTTTTCAAGAAGAGATTAATCTCAAAGAATGTCTTCATTGAGGAGCTGAAGAGGTTCCATTTGAACCACAGGGTGCCTCGCTTAGCACATTGAATAGATTTCTGAAAGGTTGCAAATAAAATGAAGAAAGAAAGAAATCCTCCTTGAAAAGCACTAGTAGAGTTTCTATTTAAAGCAATCTTATGATAAAGTCTTTTTCAAAGAATTGCTCAGGTCCCAAGCAACAGATTTGCAGTTTTATCTTCCTCCTGGACATTTCCACCTAGATAACAATAATGCTAACATTGACTAGCTGCTCATCGTGTCCCAGGCATGAATTTGTAATATGTGTGTATGTATGCGTGCATGTACGTATATGCAAATGTGTCCATACCTATGATATAGGTCTTGCATTATCCCCATTTAGCAGATAAAGAAACTGGGGCATAGAGAAATAAAGTTAACATAGCTAGTAAGTGATAAAGTCAAGCAGCTAAATCTCAATATACCCAACACCAAATTTGTCATATTTCCACCTTAGTCTGTTTAGATTTTCCCTTTTCCTTGCTTTTATGTCTAACACCATACTTTTCCTACTTAGTAACAGAGCTAAATCTTGGAGCACTGTTTCCCTTGCCCTACTCCATCTTTGCCTGCCCTGCCCTCACAGCAATGGTCAAGTCTCATTGCTTTTTGTTTTTTTTCAAGTCCCATTGCTTTGAGCACAGCTCTACCCGCTGTCCCTCCCACATTTCATTTCTTTACCTCCCCTTCCCCTTTTCTCTGCAGGTGGTCCTCCATCCTTCTCTTGCAGTAATGCATTAACCACCGTCTCTCCTCATGTTGTGCCCACCATCCCGCTCTTCACCAGTGACCTTCCTAAACCCTGTGCTCCACAGTGCCATGCTGCCCCTCCACTTACCTCTAAATGGTTAGTCAGGAGTGGCCTCTAGTGAGAGCAACATTTGACCAAAGTCCAGTAGGAAGTGAGGCAGCAAAACATGGATGTAGTCAGAGAAAGATAAAGAAGCAGCTGGACAGCAGTATGGAGCCCGAGGCAGCAGGGCCAAGGATGTGCAGAAAGAGAGAAGGCTGAAGTTGCACCTTGGTCTTCTGCCCTGGAAGTTGAGGCCCTGGGCTCTGTCCTCAGCACCTTCCCCATCCTCTGAGTACACTGCTTTGTCCCCCTTGCCATCCTTGCCCTGTGTGCTCCTGCCTCACCCCAGCTTCCATCCTTCTCTCCGTTAGGCACTGGCAGCCTGTCACTCCCCTCTCTCCACTGCTGACAGTGTCTCTGCCAGCACTAATTTGCCCTTCACCTGGACTTCTGGAGACCTCTAGCTCTCTGAATGGCCCATGTCTTTCTGCCCTAAATTATAAATTTGACATATATTTTGTTTCTTTTGCCAGCTACTTGGAGGCTGAGGTCTGACTGCTAGATTCAACCACATGGTTTTTACAGTGCTCACTTGCTGTGTGTCCTGGGGTTACAGAGGCACGTGAAACATGACCCCTGCCTTGATGGATGAAGCATGTGTGAACAAAGAGGCACAAAGAGCCCCAAGTCCAGTTTCACACATTGGTGAAGAGCTGGGTCTTCGTGTGGAGCTGGAAAGGAGGAAGGAGGTTCTGCAGTCTCACATCTGGTAATGTACAGTAAGGTGCCTTACAGAAAGTGGAGCTCAGGGAATGCTTATTTAGCTGGTTAATCTCTTGATGATTCTTTTGTTACAAGAGATTTTTAAATATTTGGTTGGTTTAAACCAACTTAGGTAATGACAGTGCATTATTTCAGGTGTACATATTGTATGTTCTGTTGTGAGCTAATGGGTGATTGTTGATAGGTTGTTCTGAACATGGTCTCAAGGCTGTTTGATGTGGTAGATATATGTATTTTGAACTTGTAAGGATTTCTTTTTCCTACTGTTTTATTCTCCAAAGAACAGGGAGCCATCACGTTAAAATCCCATCCACATTTGTACATTAGTAAGGAAGTCGGGCTTTCACTCTCTCCTTTCATACAAGCATGGGTCAATTTTAGCCTAATTTTTCCACCTTGTAGAATGGAAGGATGCAGAGATAATTAAATCTTACTTTTTAAGATCTCTTAAAAGTCAACATGTGGATGATAGTCATCATTCATCTGTGACCTTGGGGTAAGTCCATTAAAGCCTTCTGATCCCGGGTTTTTAAATCTACAAAATAGCAACTGCCCTCAAAGATTGATTTGAAAATACAGTGAAGCCATGTGTGTCTCATGCCTAGCCCAGAGCTGGGCACACAGTCAGCATCTAATGATTGGCAGGCATTGTAGCAAACCACATGCTGCTCGATGGACTTTGGAAGACAGATAATTAGAGCCAATTTATTTATTTTTCATCTCAAAATCATACTCTAGTAAGGGAGACCCAAGGAAAATTGATTGTAGAGGAGTGCCAGGGGTCCCTGGGCATGGGTAAATGGAGGACAGCCAGGGAAGGTGTGGAAGGTGTCTTTGGAGGAAGTGAGTTATGCTGAGGATTGAAAAATGAGTGGCAAGTAGCCAGTCAAGACGAAAGGCAGGAAATAGAGGAAGGTGTTCCAGACCAAAAGGATACCTAGGTTTCAGCAAATGTCGGCACCCCGAGTATGATAAAAGCTATAGGTTAAACTGTGGACCAGACAGAGAAACAATGGAATTAATGACAAAGGGAAATTAAGAAATGTCTTTCCTGAAGACATTAAGCACTAGAGTGGTACAGATGAGGCACGGCTTTGCACTGATACAGAGGAGCTGAGGAGATGGGAAAAGGGCAGAGCAGAAACCTTCAGCTCAGCAGTTTTCTAACTTTAAAAAAAAATTTAAATCTAGTGTAGCTTTTTCTCCAAAAGAAAACTTCCACAGAAGTCCAAAATATGAAGTAGTGTTGGTCTGGACAGAACAGCCTTGTCTCAGATATCCCATATGGGCATCTCTGAAGCCCCCACTTGCAGTGACCTTAGGGATGTTTCTGAAGGAGGCTTTGGATTCTGGAAAAGAAGCCTGAAGGGCCTTATTTTAAAGACAAGGAGATTGATAGCCAGAGGGTGAAATGGTTTTCTCAAGGTCCTCAAATTATTTCTAGACTAACCCCAGTGATTCTCAGGCTGCAATTTTCCTTTGCCAAACACCAGCTTTCTAAAGTGACTTCTCTTGTGAGGTCACCTATACTTCTCTATGGCCCTGTGAAATCACTAATTTTCTTTCCAGAATGGTTGACCTGGTAATCTTTCAGCAGGATCTGTCCTCATCCCAACAAGAGAGAAAAGCAGATTGCTCCAGGACAGATTGTTGGGAACTATATTCTGCAAAGGCTTGGGTTGCTGGACAATGGAATTGGAGTAAGAACTCCCTTTCCTTAGCGGGAGGATTTGTTTTCAACTTAACTTCCCATGGAACTAGGTCCCTCTCCTCCCAGCAGCTCAAATCTCCCTTTTCACAAGGTCTCCAGGTGCTGACAGTTGGCACTACCATATCAAATAACAACCTACATGGCTGACATTTACACACAGGCTGCCTGGCATCTGGGTCTTGCCTGTTTACATGCTCCTCTGGGCTCTTCTGCTTCCACTATAGGTAGATTCCTCAAGGAGCATTACTCAATGGCTGTCTCACAGACCTTTGACCTATGGGAATCATCAACCTTCTTTTGCTGGCTTTAACTTCAACATTTCTCTGGTAATAGCTACCCCTTTACCCTTCCCCACCATGTTATAATGTGTGCCTTTTCCTGTTCTGATCACACCTCCCCTTGTGTTCTAGAACCCCTTGGTTTCTGCGTTGTCTGCTTCAAAGCTCTTTTTGAGCCCTGCCTGCATCAAGAGTGTACTCACTGGGGGAACGGATGGTGGTGGACAGGAGGAAGCCTCCTTGGACTCACACATCACTCCTTCCAAATGCCCCTCACACAGAGCTCACCTCTCACTCTGTACACCGCTGGCCACTTAGATCTCTATGTTCTCAAATATTGTGTAGACTGAACAAGCAGGGGCAGTATTTTCCACTACTGTACAGCACACGTGGAGTGATCAAAAGTTATTATAGTGACCCACAAAGCCCTTCCTCCCACACCCCTCTCCTGCTCCACTGTGTTTTGCTCTGCCCCAGCATCTACTATCCTCCAGGCCCACTCCTGATTCAGGGGCTCCATACTGCTATCCCACCTGCTTTGTTATCTTCCCCCAGATATCTCCAGGATTTACTGTCTGTACTGCATTTTTGTCAAATGCGCTCTCACCATAATGCCATTTCTGATCATCCATTTAAAATTGGTACTGAACATATTCCCTACCTTACTGTCTTTTCTTTGAGGCAATTGTCATCTGGTGACATGGGATACATTTTACTGGTCTAGTTCTTTCCCTCTACTCAAATATAAGCTGCATGGGAGCAATATTTTTTGTCTGTTTTTGTTTTTTTTCTTAAATTTCCCAAATCCTGAGGCCCAGAACAGTGCATGGCACAGGATAGGTGTCGAATAAACATCTGTTGAATCAATGTAATAATCACACTCAGCATGAGCCCAGGCTCCAGGCTGGCTTTCTCTCAATGTCTCTGTTTCCCAGGACTTGGAGAACTCCAGGAATAAGACCACAGAAGACTAGAGTCCACATGTTTCTTCTTTGTGATGGTTTCCTTCCACTTCTTCCTAAACCACATAAATGGGCTTTATGCTTAAGAAGTGCCTTCCTTCCCAGCATCACTTAGTAGGGAAAAATGTTTATTTGGGTTTGATTTTGGCAATACATCAAAATCCAATAATCATACCATAGTGCAAATGCATTGAGAGGTGTGAGATCCATAATGTAATAACATGTAATCTGCACATCAGGATCACAAAGGCAAATCTATAATTTCACTTGATTTATTTTCTTAAAATGTGACAATCCCACATGTTGCTTGAAATGATGGAAGTTGGGACAAACAGGAATGTGGGAGGTTTATGAGCTGCGTCAGCCAAGTCTTGGGGATCCCTCCTCTTCCGTGCCTGGAAGATAGGCCTGAGCAATTTCCCCTTTTACTGCAGCAATATCTCCTCTGCATTCAGCAGAAAGACCCCCAACCTGTAAACATATTAGTAGGCGTGTTCGCTTTACAAGTGTGTAAATTTCCCCACAGTGTGTACCTCCTGGGTCTGAGGCCCTGATTATTGGTGTAAGTAGCCTGTGCAGGAGAAAGCTCCAGTGTGGTCTAGATTTGTGCCCACTGGAGGGTGGTGGACAGGCTGGGGGATTTGAAAACACAGTAGCAGACATTTTCTCTCACCAGCAGGCAGGAATCCACTCACATGAAATAACACAAAATGATTGCCAAGGCCTGAGAGCTGTGACTCAGGGGCAAGATGTACAGATTCAGACTTACAAAACCATCCAAGAGCCTCTTCAGGCCCAAGGGAAACTTAGCTCCCCTTGCCTGCTGCCTTTTGCCACTCTTCCTTCTCCTTTGACAGGTGACTTCATGTGGAACACAATAATAACCATGGTTATTGGAAGCCTGGTATGTGGTAGAGGTGCACTAATCCAGCTCATTGACCACCTCCAAGGTAGATATGCAATCCTCAGATTTATGTAGCTCAAGGGGTCAATGACCCAGCCACTCTGGGAGTTACAGTTTGAGCCCATGCCTGAGAGGTTTCAAAATCTATGCTCCTTCTACTTCACTGGTTTAGAATATATCACCAGACTTATAATCAGAACTGGCCTTATTCTTATGCTACCAGTACTTATGCTTTGGGATCCCTGATTAGCGGTCTCAGAACTGGCCTTTCCCCTGTCCTATCCCTCCTCACATCTCAGGTGCCCACAGGATATGACCACCTGGATCTCATATCCCTCCTTCCAGATCAAATTCTAGGTACTGGGTCCTCCAGAGTTCTTTCTTAAATGGCTCTGCTTCTACTTCCATGCCCCACACAGTTCTCTTCCCAGAGTACATTGGGGTTCATCTGTGGGTCAGAGGGTTAGACAAAGAGTGGCATTCTTGAATGAGGGGTGAATGAGCAAGTGAATGAGAGGGTTGATGTGTAGTCTGGGATATTCTCACACACACACACACACACACACACACACACACACACACACACACGGATGCAGGGCCTCTTGTCAGGTAGGGTCGAACCAGATACGGCAAAAGCAAGTTCAGCCTCTGTTTGGCTGCCTCCCTTGTAGTCTCACTGGAGGGCCCACCAGTGCCACACGCTCTGTTTCACATTGAATGCTGCATGTTTAGCCCTTACACAGTTGCCATTATAGCCACTCTGTCTTTGATATTCACAACTCCATGTGACTAGAGGATTCTGAGAATGCAGGAGATTTCACAGGCAGTAACTATGCCCAGGCCGCCTTAGCCCTATCCTTGCTGTGGTCTATCCTGTTCTTCGTGGTTCCTCCTCTTTCCAAGCATTTTCTCCATACAACCTGTGAAACTGACTTATATCTCAGAATCAACCCCTTTGAACCTTACCCCTGCCATATTACTTACAGTTTAGCTTTTTTCCTGACAAATCCCAAAGAACATGGAATAGAGGCTTCTGGGAGTTTTGTTCCATGGGGTGGTGTATATTATTCTACATGCTGGTCAGATCACAGGAAAAGGGGGTGGCTGAGAGGAAGACCTTTTGTGGAAACAAAGCATTAAGCCTTTTCTCATTTCTTTCTTTTCCCCA